AATTAATAGTAAGCTAATCAACACTCAAACACCCAGATAAGCCAGGGAGCCCACCCCAGACAGCCCGGCACCTCCAACCCTGAATACACAAAATACAATACAAATGTTATCTTTCAGGTGTTTGCTTTACTTGTATAATCTGTCCAGCATCAGACAAAACTCATACAATATTCCAACAGTCTGAAAAAGTGGAATTTGTCTATCTTCATAGATTTTTTTTGAGGGAGATTGTTAAATATTTCTGTCACAGTCCCCAGAGAGCCAAGGCTCTCATGCACATTGTTGGATTTCGGTAGGGCTCAGGTTAGTATTTGGGGGGGGGGGGGGCTGCTGCACACAGAAAGTTATTTCCTTCATGCATAGAGTGCACGAAGGTAAGGTGTAAAAAAAAAAAAAAAAAAACCTTGAGCCTTTACAACCACATTAAGTACCAGAACATTTTACTCCCTTCATGACCAAGTCCATTTTTTGCTATACGGCACTGCACTATTTAAACTGGAAATTGTGCGGTCATGCAATGCTACACCCAAACGAAATTTAAATAATTTTTTTCACACAAATAGAACTTTCTTTTGGTGGTATTTGATCACCACAGGGTTTTTTATGTTTTGTGATATAAACAAATTTTTTTTAAAAAATAACAGTATTTTTTACTTTCTGCTCTAAAACATCCAATACAAATATTTAAAAATCAAATTTCTTGATGTATTTTGATAAAAAAAAAAAAAAAAAAAATTACAATAAGTGAATATTAATTGATTTGCGTGACAGTTATAGGGTCTATAGACTATGGTATATATACTGGAATTTGTATTTATTTATTTTTTTATACTACTAATAAGGGTGATCAGTGACTTATATCGGGACTGCGATAGTGCAGTGAGCAATCTGACACTAACTGTCATTGACATCTCCAGCGACACTGTACTAATTACAATGGCTGGGAAGGGGTTAACATCTAGGGCGATCAAAGCGTTAAATGTGTGCCTACCAATGTGTAATGTGTGTATTATGTGCTGCTTTTACGAAGAGATCTCTTATTTCCTCATCCCTGCCTTGCATGGATGACAAACGGAGATCGTGTACTCTGTACAGAGCCTTGTATTGAATGTCACAGCCGATCAGCAGGTTCCGGCCATGAATCATTTGCTAGGACTGCTGACATACTTCCCCTGCGTACAATCACAATGGGTGTCAGTGGAGGGTGCACATGTGCTCACCCGATACCTGGAAGCAGGCAGTAGTGTACCGGTTTGTCTCTTTGCCTGCACAGGCCACCCATCCACAGTATTGTCTGCAAGTGGGGAAATACCTCTAAAAGCTTCCCTTGTGTAAACTTTCAAAAATCTGCTGGGCATCACCATCTTCAATATGATGTCAGCAGCCCAGCATACTCAGAGCTGTCACTCAAATGACACTCTATAATACTCCCCTTTGCTTCTCCCCTAGCAGTCACTTCAAAGGTTATCTACGGAGATGAGAGAGGAGCTAGGCCAGCACATAGTAATTAGCCACTCCCAGAAGAGGAGAGCACTATGATGTGCAAGGAGGGAGGGGACTGAGATAGAGAATTGGTTTTTCTTAAAATACTACATGTTCTAGCAGGTTCATAGGCACATTGTGAGTGAATAAATCAATTGTGGAAAGAAAACCCACTGGGAATAAGCATGTTAAATATGCGTGTTTTCTGAGCTGTTACCTGCATGTTGTTAAGCTGGTGGCATGGTCTCTTTAAGACAGTTCAGCCCTACCGGATCCAAGATTTCCATATTGACAATGCTTTTAAATTGTGTGCTCAGTGCAAATTTAACTTCAGCACTCAAATGTACCCTCCTTCCACTTTAGAACAAAAACTGTAGCTGCTGACTTTAAAAAAAAACAGCCACTCACCTGTCCCACGATCCCGCGGTGTCCTCCCCGCAGCCCATTTCACCAGCTGTCCGGTGTTCCAGGTGCCGGCATCTTCAGTGTGGGCACCCGGCTGTGACAGCTTGCGGCTTCACCATCGGGTGCCCACTGCGCATGCATGAGAACCGCTGCGCTTCCTGAATGGTCCCGTAGTCTTCTGGGACTTGTCACGTGTCCCACAAGACTTCGGAGAGGGAGGACAACTTCCGCTTCTGGTCACCTGATCGCAGTGGGAGTGGGTACCTGTCAAATTTGGGTAACCACTCCCCCAAAGGTGCCAATCCTTAATGGGGAGCAGGGGGACCAGTCTTTAAAGCAGAACTTTCCCTTTTGGGTGGAGCTCCACTTTAAACATTTTAGTTCAATCTAACAGACCTAACCACCCAAGTTTTTTGTGGAATAGGATTTCGGTAGCTTTTTTGGTAATTGTTTGTTGGCCAATCACTACATCTACTCTTGACTATGTTTTTGCACCTGTATTTATTAAGCCTAAAGAACACAGCCTTTTTCTTTTCTTTTTTTTTTATTTAGCGGTATCAAAAAATCCTTGCTGTGTTTTCTTGATCACTGAACTTTGTATTCCTTTTTGGTTTATATCCAAAATCAGTGTGTGAACAGAATACTTTGTTCTTCGCAAACGATTATCCCTTGAAACAGACTTTGGTTTTCTGATTTCGAAGACCATCATACTGCAGGCATCTCTAAAACCAAATCCGTTCTTTAGGATATAGGATCATACTACAGATCAATGTGCATGCCACGCAGTCGTGCATTTGACGAGAATAAAACTGAATCACTATTTTTTTGTAAACTGCAAAACACTATTTTAAGAATGTTCAGAATCAGATTTTGTGTTGTACAGCTGGTGTAATATATTTTGTAAATACTTATATATATGGATAATATAAAATAACTGAATTTTCTATGATGCATGGCTGTAGATTTTAATGTTTCTCGAAACCATAATTTTGACAAACCACCCAATACTTCTGTCTCCTCCATTGTCTTCTTTATGATGCTACTTGTTTTCTTTTGTTTGTGCATTACCATTTTTCACCATTGTCTTGTATGCTGTAATGTCAAATGTTGATGGTGTCGTATTCTAGCTATATGTGTGTGTTGAGTGTGTTTTTATTTTCCTTTTTTAATATCTATATTTGTTGGGGCTAATTTATGAGAGTATCAGTGATAGAACTGTTCACAACCGTTCACCATAATTTTTTTTAAGTTTGTGTTTTTTTTCCCCGTCTTGTTTTTATATACAGCTATCATTATTTGGTGTGCAGAAATGTATGTTTTTGTCGGATTGTGAACAAGGTTACCTCTCAGAAGCTATTTTTGTGTAATAGGGAAACTATTTTAAGCAAAAAGAAAAACTACAGTGATTTGCACAAAATTCTGTACACTATATTTTTTTTCCAGGTATATTTTGTTGGAATGGTGGAAGTATCTTTCCTCCCTTATGGACTACCTTGATGATCAGCCCTGCACTATTAGATACTTTTATGGGGTTTTATGCTACCCCTCAATATATACAGTGCCTTGATATAGTTTACAGCTTTGTAATAATACAGTTATGGAACATTTCTGACTGTATCTTTTGCATGGAAATAGGGCAGACAGTAGAGATTATGTGCTGGAGTTAAGAAAAGTAGGAGTTTTCTATAACGGACAATCAGATGCTTTCACTCTTACAGTATAATATGTAATAATACAGGAAATCTGATGACAAAACTCCTGCTTTTTGTTGTAGCCCTTCTTTTCCTCGAGCCTTTGTGATTCTGACCCAGTAACATCATTTTATAATCTGCAATTTGCGTCTTTTAATACAGCCTGAGAATAATAATCAGAACTGCTGTTCTCTTGAAAGTAACCTATATTATGACATTTTTATATCTATGGTAGCACAATTTTCAGTATGGATATTGAATGTTGTCATATAACATGATCTGTGCAGATATGGAATCCATTATGTATAAAAAGCTAAGGGCAAATATTGACTTGGCCCCGGTTCACACACATATGCGGGAAACGCAGTGATCCCTGTGCATTGCAGTCGCACTGTGTTTATAATCTGCTGTGGATGTCAATAGAAAGTGAACACCCCAAACTCATCGCAAGCGCAGTACGGTTTGGCTGCCCTGGATTGCAGGGTACAAAACCATGCAATGCTGGAATGTGGTGCGGCGGTTCCTATGCTGTTCACATGCAAGCTAAAGTGTGAACCCAGGCTTAGTGATACTTGAGCCTCAGATATATCATTAAGTACTTTACTGCACTGTAAATGCATGCCCCACTGCTATGTAGATCTAAAGGACTTTCATGTTTTAGCGTTCACCATTACACCTGAGTGAAGGAGAGCAAAGTAGTGTGAATGAATTCCGAAAAAAAAAAAAAATATTTTGCAGGTTCTTAAATCATGGAAATCCATTTAGTGACTAGGAATACAAGAGGCACTTTTTGATTGAAATGTTATTTTATGTATTGTGTTTGCATTATGAAAAACCCAGAAGCATTCCTTATGATCTATCCCTTACTTAAATTGTTGATAAAATTGTTACTTTTTATTGTTATATTTGGTTCTTTGTATTCCTTCAACTACTTTATATCATTCCTGGTCTTTCTGCTAGCACCATCTCACAAGGGTGTCCATATTGATTTGGAAGCTTACAAGTCATGCAACCAGATCCGAGTCAGATTTCTAAAACAATGACATGACTGGTAGGCCCATGTGGATGGTTGGTTGCTGTAGGATGTGAAGGTGAGAGAGCATTTATATGAAATGCTTTGTCAAATCAGATTATCCACCATACAGGTCAATTCTGATTGGAAATAACCACAGCAATTTTTATGTTCTCCTGGCTTAGGTATGATGAGCCTTTGTCCAGCCCTTGGGACACTACTCCCACTGACACAAATGATGATATTAATGGTGGGGCACTATTCCTCCCACTAATATCAATGGTGTGGCCCGATTCCTCCTACTGATAACCACTATTCCTCCCACTCATATTAATGGTGTGGGGCACTATTTCTCCCACTGATACCAATGGTGTGGCCCGATTCCTCCTACTGATAATAATGATGGGGCACTATTCCTCCCACTGATACCAATGGTGTGGCCCAATTCCTCCTACTGATAACAATGATGGGGCACTATTCCTCCCACTGATACCAATGGTGTGGCCCGATTCCTCCTGATAATAATGATGGGGCACTAACTAACAATGATGGGGCACTATTCCTCCCACTGATACCAATGGTGTGGCCCGATTCCTCCTACTCACTCCCCTGATAACAATGATGGGGCACTATTCCTCCCACTAATAATGATGGGGCGCTATTCCTTCCACTGATGCCAACAATGGGGTAATAGTCCTTCCACTGATAAAAATCATTTGGTAAAATTCCTTCCATGTACAGCAATGATGGGGTATTGTTCCTTCTACTGACACTACGTAACTGACCACTAACCCTGAGGCAATTTTTATTCTCTCTGATGCTGGGCCTGGAACATTTTATACCCCCCTGGCCACAGTCGTCGGGCCCCATTAATGTCTGATTAAGTAAACTGACCCATTGTTTGACATTTGGAGAGCCTTGCTTTACATGATATGTGTGATCACAATTTTTCAAGTTTTTAAGCTGTTTTGATATTTAACTTTTAGGCAACAAAGATCTAGAACAGTGTGCTGGAAATCTCAGCCTTGGCTTTTTCGAAGTCTTGGCCATATCTCCTCTTTCTTGCCAAAGCCTACCTAATGGTTATATATTTTAATAGAGGCCTCACAGACAAATACGGAAAGTTTATATGAAAAGTTGAGACTTCAGCAGGTAAATGTCTACATATTTTCTTTCTTGTATTTTGAGGGCCACAGGAATTCAGAGACTGACCGTACTGCTGCCTATAGAAGAATTTACACACTTGTAGACAAAATTTGTGAGCCAGCCCAGTGTTACCTCTCCTACTCCCAGCATGTGTTTTTTTTTTTTTTTTTTTTTTTTTTTTTTTAATAGTGATCTAGGAAGATAGATAACGTTTTTTGCTAGCAGTTTTTTTTTAAATCCTTTCTTCAATGAGAATTCCTGATACTTTGTTGCCGAGCTGGTTTCTATGCAACTACAGCTCTACAGTGCTGTACCTGGATTGCTAGACTGAACATGACATAGGGCTAGCCTGAAAAGTGATTTTTGGACACTGTGCTTTACACTGTGGCACTCTCCAGACCAGCATATTCTGATTACGTTAGCTGTGGACTGCTCTTCAGCTACAGAGCCATGACCCTGTCTCTCTAAAGACACTCTGTGAGTAGGCTGTGCTAGAGCCAGTTTTTCTTTCCCAGGAGAAACTTCAAAGTCTCCACTCCCAGGAGACTTTAGGCCAGGAGTTACCAAACTCTTTGCTTTTGGGTTTACACTGCTTTAAACCCAAAACTCTCATGCAGTAGCAAACATTTATAATATTGCAGCTTACTATTTCTTAGATGTGATGGCTGCATTAGCTTTCTTTTTTAGGCTTCTTTTGTTTATTTTCACCTGGTAATCTGGCTAGGAAGTCTGTTTTTTCAACTACACAAGCTATTGTAGTAGAAGTCAATTCAGTCCTTGGACAAGACTAATTTATCTGGCTCCAAAGCTCAAATTGTCCCTGATTTGGTTGGTCTGAAATCCTGCTCTGGAGTTAGGAAAGTCTATCCAATCTCTTGGAAGATCCTCACAATGCTTGACAGCCTTTCAGGATGGGGAGGAGTCCTAGACATCTTGTTGATGCAGGAACTTGGACATCTTAGGAGACTTGCCTTCTAATCAACATCCTGGAGCTGGTTTTCCCTGCAGTGCTGGAGTCCTATCTGGTCCAGATCCAGTCAGTGTCTCAGCAGTGGCATACTGTCAGGGGGGGAACCAGAAGTCTTGCCTTTGCAAGAATGGTAGAGCAGATCTTGGCTGGAATGTGAAGTTCTTCCTATGGCTTGTCTACTATTTATATCCTAGGAGTGGACAATTGTAAGGCATACTTTCAGGGAGTGGTGCCTGGACCAGGGGTGATTTTTCATATACCTGAAAGTCTGGGGACTGTGTCACAGGTGGGGTATACTGGATGCGGACATCCAGGTTCAACAACAAACTGGACAGGTTTGTCTTCAGATAAAAATGTCAGCAGTAGATGCTCTAGTGCTCCATGGGGTCATGGATGCTTTTACTCCCGACACTCCTTTCTCATTTGCTTCATATGATGAAGCTGTAGGCAGATGTGGTAATTTTTTCAATTCACATTAACCTATGTAGCTGTAGGCAGTGGAACAAATGTTCCTGAAGTTGAACCTCTCAACAGTTCATCTTGGCCTCCCTCACAGAGTATCTGCTCTGTGTTAGATTTGAAGGTTGCAAGTAAGCCAAGTCACTGATAGGTGGGGGGTTGTGAGTGAACAATTTCAGTGCTTCTGTTGTGATCTTTGAAGAGGACTTGACTTGCTTCATGGTGCTTGTAACTATAGAGGTCAGTGAAGGCTTGCTGTAAAGCTCAGTACTGCTTGTTAAGAATATGCAAAAACATAAAAATGGCTATAGCCTGGCCACAAGTTTACTAGAAGGTTTATTCAATAGCTCGTGCCTGTACACTACACCAACATCAAATATCTATGGCCCACTTACAAAAAACAAAAAGGAAACAAAGTAAATTGAGTTCTTTTTTTTTTTTTTTTTTTTTTGTTTAACGTTCTCTGTGATCCAAACTCATCATTGTCTTTGTATAAAATATAAGCTCATTATGATGGTTATTGTTCAGTTCAATGAGCTGGTCCCTACTTATACTGAAAGATCTGTTCTTGTTAAGATGATTGTGTTTCTGTTCAAAGTTGTAGAATAGAAAAAAAACCCCCATCTGCCTAGTATACATAAGAACAGTGATATGGACATAAAATAACATGTATTTGCTATGAGATACTGTATTTCTTGCTCTGTGAAGCCCAGTGGAACACATCTCACAACAGCAACTGATTAGATGTAGGCGTTCATTTCATTCTAGGACTAAAAAATGAATTTGTCAATTTCATAAACCGTTTCATTCTTTTGTTAATAAATGCTCCCAATGTGTAAAAGGGTCAGTGTATGAAAAATTGACTATAGTTAAGTTACCAGATGATTTCATGCATCTCGTGTTCAGCTTCATCCGCTGTGTGTATTACCAGGGTGTTTCAGTCTTCTGTTACTCTATGGATTACAGGAGGACTGGGACTTCTTGTGCAAAAGTAAAACTGGGATCTCCAGAACAATTCCACTAATTGAGTTGTATGAAGGTGCGAAAAGACAATGCGTGAACTAAATATCTATATTACATGCACTGATCCTTTAAAACTAAGAACGAAAAGCACATATATGATAACGTGTTTGTACTGTATCACTTTTTTTTCTTTTAATTTGATGATTCTGTGGAAAATGTTCTGTATGGCTGGCATCCAGTTTTAACTGCATTTTTTTGCGATTCTTGCCCTGTGAATTATAAATGTATGATATGTGACTAGTGGCAATACTGCTGTGTAGGAAACCTGCAGTCTGATGAGTATATTTGGGATCCTCAGCACCCCATGTAAAGAAGCACTCTCTGGCTTGTTCTGTGGTCACTGTGACCCAAAAATCATGTGAAATGGTATCCACACACATCCTATACCATGTTTCAATATAATGTGCATATGAATAAAATTCTGGTTCAGTTGGCAATGGAAGGAGCTTCAGCAAGTACAGTCATCAAGATACAGAACCAAAGAGTTTGTTTCAAGAAGTCCAGTTAGTATCAAGCTCATAATTTTGTTTTACTTTTGCTGTTTATAGATGTCTTTTTTTTCTTAGAAATTAAATGTTTTAATTTTGTAAAAAAAAAATTTCATATTGTAATTTTTTTTGTGTAAATATGCATATGCCAAGTTCAGATGTCTGTGCATGCAGGCCCACAAGTCTTGCGATATTGTGTGTATGTGCTAAGAGAAGAGAACGTAGTAGACAACAAATCAGAAAAGTACTGTTTGCTACTCTGCCTAACACTGAACAGACCCCTATTAGCAAGCCAGCACCAAAAAAAAGTGTTTCACACCAATAAGGAATAATACTGCAGTGCTAATAGAATACAGCCCTATAAAATATAAATCTAAAAATGCTGGAAGAAAAGGTTAAAGGAGAAGTACAGCCAGAGCTTGTTTGGTTGCACTTCTCATGTGGACCAAAGGAATGCAGTTTGTTCTGTACTCCTGTGACCCATTTTCAGTCAACAGCAGGCTAAAGTCTGCTGTCAGCTGATGTCACTCAGTCGGTCCAGTGTAAGGAAAGATCCAAACTTTAAAGTGGGAATCCATGCAGGTGTCTGGACCGGCACTTGCCTCTCAGTGATCCACTGAGAGCCTGGGCTAGCTACTTCTTCCTCCTCCATAGCCCAGTGCTGCAATGGGCACTGGGTGGGGTGGTTTCAGGGGCAGAGCAGTGATAAACAGTCACCAGAAAATTACTCACTGAAAAATGAACGATCAGGCTTTTTTTGGGGGGGGGGGGGGGGGAACGACACCTTTTTAATGTAACTAAATCCAGGACCCTCCATTCACTATATCTGGCTTCACACAGTACACAACATGGAAATTCAATTATTTTAGCAAATATAAACTGCTCAATATCTTTTCTCATCAGCAGTTAGAGCAGTCTTATGACTTCTATCAGTGTCCAGCAGAGCACTGATTAAAGCTTGGAGGCATTTTCATTCTCCCGATTGTCATATGAGGCTGCATAACCCTTGACCCTCTGTGTGGACAGCTTTGATTGGCCCTGTGCTGATCACATGCACTCTCCCAAGAAAAAAGAAACCTAGCAATACACACCAAACTGAGCATGTGCAGCTTGCCCCCAAGGCTCTGTTCTATCAGCAGAGGGATTAGGACAGTACAAGGGGAAATCAGAGAAGACAGGATCAAACATCCTTTTTACACAATGTGGAGGATTAACCCCTTAGGTTCCAGAGCCAGTATAAACAAGCATGCTTTACTGCATATACAGACTGATTTTACTGTTGTGGGTTTAGTAACACTAAGTCTTGCCTCTGTTCTGTACCTACTGTGCATTTACTGACCACCTCTGACACTAGAGGTCTGTTTGTTAAGCCATACTGTACCTTTAGGACAAACTTGATTCTGATCTCTCCAGTATTATAAAGTGTGTATGAGGAGGAGTGGGAGACTTAACCCTTTCTTTAAGTGTTTTTAGACCTCATGTAATGTTAGAGGTATATATATATATATAAGATGAGCAGACTCAGAGCCATGGGGGAACATTGTACACTGAAGATCACTGAGTGAGTGAGGGACATTTATTATGTTTCTTGTATTCACGTATCTACATTGAACTGATGTGTTGTCTGGACACTTTGTTTAATTATTAGGCTATACATGTATATACCCCAAAATAGATTTGAAGGCACAGGCTATGAGGTAATCCAAACTTCTTCAGTTTTTTCCCTTATGAATTAAAGTAATATAGCATATAACTAATTACAGTTGGTGGTCTTTTTTCCCCCA